AGAAGGCTTGAAGACGGTTACCCTGGGTCATTGTGTCACTCCTCACTGTAGCATGGTGACTACGACCCTTGGAACTGAGTTTGAGTCCCAGCTCCTCTGTCTGCAAGCTGTGACCTTGAGAAAAGTTACTTTCTCTCTAGCCTTCATTTTCTCATCTGTTAAAGAGGGATGAATAACATCCTTCTTCTAGGTACTTACCTTCTAAGATTGCTGTGGGGAATCCAGTTTCTGTGTGCTGGAGATTTTATCTCAAATCCTTTTTGACAAATATTGGCCCCCCAAAAAATAAATAAAGGGAAAATAAAAAGAAGCAGAATGAGAAAGAAAGGGAAGGAGGGGGAGAAAAGGAGAAGAGAAAAAGCTGACAGAAAATATGAGTGAGTTTTATTGTCTCTCACCTCTTCTGATGTAGACAAAGCATACATTAGTGGCCCATTTTATAGGTTTAGAAGATAGCTTGGCCGTTCGCCTAGGATCACTGGTGAGCTAGAGCCAGGTCAAGAACTTGGGTCCTTCTGCCTGTCCCCGGTCTAGTAAGTGTTGGTTGGCACCTCCAACCTGAATAGGAAACACTATCCTGTACCATAGGCACGAGGCAGGGGAGCAGTGTGCCATGATGGTTCTCCCCTCCCTGCCACCTTAGTGGAGACCAGTGCTAGCCGATGGCTGTGTCTCTTTGTGAATGAGATTAATTCAGGAGAATCTCATGAAAACAGAAAATGACTCAGAAAAAAATGATTCTTTTGACATCAATAATAAGAACGTGCCCCCATCCTCCCACCCCCAGTTTTCAGTATTCTAGACTTTTTGCAAAAAAAGCATTAGCAGCCTTTGGGTATGCAGTAATTCTTGTATCGCTAAACTCATGTTTTGCATCAACTCATAATTTCAGGTGTGGTGGAAATGGCTTTGGCGTTTTCTCTGATAAAATGATTCTCCCTGAGCTGTTTCAATGTCTTGGGGAAGTTTTAGCATCCTGGGCATGGCCTCTGATTCCAGCTGCTTGGGCCTGAGCCACAGCTGTATCTCTCTCAGGGGGGGTGACTTGGGGCAATTTCTTTAACTTCTCTCCACTTTAGCTGCCTCTCTTTAAGATGGAGATGGTAATGGTGCATGCCTCAGAAAGTTATAAGAAATCAGCGAGGCAATCTTTGTTCGATGCCTGCAGAGAGAGAGAGAGAGCCCTCAGTACAGGGGAGCTGGAATAGTGACGAGGCTGTTCTGTTTGCAGTTTATGAAGCTGATAGACGTGACCATAGGTAATGGGCATTGATATTCTTAGTAAAGTCCTTAACATTTCCTTTCCTGTCATAAAAATAATTACGTGGAATCCACCTGGAAATCATAAGCAGAAACTAGGTCTGCTAGCACAGAGATACCTGTGTGCTATAAAGACCCTTCTAGTCTTGACGAGTGCTTTGTGTTTAAGGGCTTGGTGAACTCCAGGTTCTTTCAGTTCTTAAAGTTGATCCTTCCAATGGAGTCACAGCTGAGCTTGGGTTGGGGCCAACCATCTGGGCGTATAACAAAGTATCAGCAGAACATAAGTTCAAGGGGAATGACAAATCAGTGCTTCCCTGTTTTCCTGTGCCTTTCTAGTTAGGGTCTGGAAGGGTCTTCTTCCTTATTTAATATGACCATTTTTTTTTTTAGATTTTATTTATTTATTTGACAGAGAGAGATACACCAAGAGAGGGAAGACAAGCAGGGGGAGTGGGAGAGGAAGAAGCGGGCTTCCTCCTGAGCAGGGAGCCCAATGCCGGGCTCTATCCCAGGACCCCGGAATCATGACCCGAGCCAAAGGCAGACGACGCTTAACGACTGAGCCACCGAGGCGCCCCGTGAATGTGACCTTTCAAGAAATGTCATTTTCATCTTTCCCAGGGGAATCTTTTTTTTTTTTTTTAATGGAATTCAGTTTGCTTTAGGTTTCTTTCTCTTCGCTGACTTTGAAAGATGAGGCTGGGGCCCATGCGTGTTTCATTATTGATAGCAGCTCTTCCTGTCTCTCAGCTCTGCCATAAATCCCATTAGAGTAGGCTTCATCTCCTAGGCCAGGTCTTTTCACACAATTTGTTGTAAGATGTGCTGTTTGCCTAAGACCATGCAGCATCTCTGGGGACCATACCTTCCCTGAACGCAGAGCCGGGCGCCGTGGCCCGTCGAAGCCCCCAGACAGCAGAGCCGAGCGTTGCCGGGCAGAGTCGACCTGCTGCTGCATTCTGTGCCGCCTTGGGCTGGTCCCTAAAGTCCTCTGGCTTTAAGATGTGTTCTCTGACGCTCTGAAGGGAATTATCTCAAAAATCCTGTCCAGTGCTCTCCTTCCCTTGAGCAGGATTTTGTGTGGAGTTATTATTTGTGCTGGGGTTAGGGTTCTCCGACCAAATAAATTTAGGAAATGCTTATCTTATTCTTCTCTTACAGAGTTACAAGGCACACATGCATGTTCATGTCTCTGAGAAATCCACGGTTAAGAAACCTGTCTAACAATGCTCAATCAAGTATTTCTCAAATATAGGTGACTATGCAAATTAAAGCATTCTTATTCATTCACTTTGCTGACTGACAGTTGCTTTCCTGGGAAGAGTTCCGAGGGGTTCTGAGGGAGAGGCTTGCACTCGAGGTTCCTAGATGATTGAGTTACGTACGGCAAGGAACATACAACAGTATCTCTGGTTTTTCTTTCTTTTTTTTTTTTTAAGAGAGCAGGCATGCGAGTTGGGGGTGGGAGGGGCAGATGGAGAGGGAGAGAGAAAATCTCAGGCAGGCTCCAGACCCTGCGCAGAACCGACTTGGGGCTCCATCTCATGACCCTGAGCTCATGACCTGAGCTGAAAACAAGAGTTAGACACTTAGCCGACTGAGCCACCCAGGCGCCCCAGTATCTCTGATTTTTAAATGACCTTATAGAAGTACCATTGCCATGTGATTAGAAAATGGTTGAACGTTTTTTTTTTTTTTAAGATTTTATTTATGTATTCGACAGACAGATCACAAGTAGGCAGAGAGGCAGGCAGAGAGAGAGGAGGAAGCAGGCTCTCCGCGGAGCAGAGAGCCCGATGTGGGGCTTGATCCCAAGGACCCTGGGATCATGACCTAAGCCAAAGGCAGAGGCTTTAACCCCCTGAGCCACCCAGGCGCCCCTGGTTGTACGTTTTAAACCGTTTTTGAGCGATTGGTTCGTGGAGTCTAATAAATCACCCAAGTATTGGTGTCAAATCTGGGAGGTTGTGGCTTGGAAGGAGCTGCTTTGCACTGGCCGATGGCTCCCAAAGTCAGTTTCAGTATCGGCTTGCCCTCCACCCTTGGCAGTCCTGCCTTATGAAAGGCAAGGAACCCATCTAAGCTGCTTTTCGCTAGAGTCCTGGGTTAGCTCCAGGAAATAGTAGCAGCACTCCACGTGGTTTCTTCCTCTCCTTTTCATGTCAAATACGGTAGGAATCATAATCTGGGATATCAAGGGAATAGGAGAAACCAGTTTCCATTACATTTGAAGTGAGGCTAATGAGAATAAAAAACAAAAACAAACAAAAACCCGCAGTTGTGAAAGGCTCCTATCCACTGTTTGGTAAGGTTCCCAAGACACTAACAACAAAAAAACCATTAGGGTAAAGCATGAAATCACTGTCATGAGAATGTTAGGCATTAGGCGTAATCAGAAGATTTCAATCAATGTGACTGGCCTTTTGACAGCAGCTGACATAAGACAGCTCTGTGAATGCTGAGCGTTTTATCAATGAGTGGTCCAGTTGTGATCCTTTGTCTGGCGCCTGCTGATTTGGCCAAGTCAGGAGAACGTTATCAGAAGCAAAAAGTTCCAGGCAGTGGCCTGGGCTAGCAGGAGAGGGGTTGGGGTAATCCAGGAGTATGGCTGTCCCCAGAGTCATTTCAAAACAAAACAAAACAAAAAAGCCAGCTAGAAGAGAGTAAGCCAGGGATGTGCAATTAATCAAACTTGATATTGAAACAATGTGGTCATGTAGTCTTTCCTTCCCGTGGGTAGTTTATGGGCTTTATATTAAATTAATATCTCAGAATGGTTTTGGTGGTTATCTTAATTACAGGAATTAAATGATTTACCCTCACACTTAAAACAATTATGTCCGTTTCCTCCAACCTCCTAACCAGAGGCTGGGGGTAGTTGTCCTAAGTGTCTTTTCCCATTTAAACTGTATCTTCGTAATGTTTCCAATTTGCAAAAGCCCCGGTGTTCAAAAATAACTAGGAGAAACTCTGGACTGTGGGTGGCGGGTAATCCAACCCAGTATCAGGGCATTCCTGACTAAAGGAAAAAATGTCTCTTTCCTGAGCCTTTCCGGATGAGGTCATTGTTTTCAGACAGCCTGTACCTAATATAAACGGGCTCAAAGTCCACGGCTTGTCTCAGACCAGTGTGTTGTCAGGGACCCACATCCCAAGCCATGAGGAATAGTCCGGCCGATAGTAAAAGGAACCTGCTCAAGTTATAGTATTTTTGTTAAATCCTTGTATTCATAAAAAGCAGTAAGTGCCCATCTGGTGAGACAATAATTCATTAAACGATAAAAAGGAGGCAGAAGGCTTGGGAAGATCAATCTCTCTCTCTCTCTCTCTCTCTTTTTTTTTTTGCCTCATGTGTTTGAGTTATTGTGAAATGACAGTGACCAAAATCTGGATTCTGGATTGTGCAGAGTGGAGGAGAATCCGAGGGTCATTCCGGACGCGTTTTGATGGCGGAAGGGATGATTTTCTGCAGGTGCGATGTCAGGGAACTGGTGTGTTCTTAAGAGTGGTCTTCAGAATTGGTGGGAGCCAGAGTGGGGAGAAGAAGAGGGTGAGGACTCAGTGCACGAGGAGGGAGCTAGAATCATGCAGGAAACTTCTCGTTCTTCCTGAGTTGGCTGGGGCACACCCTCTGGGTGGCACACCCCTTTCTGGAGTCCGGCTCAGCCCACGAACTCCTGGGAGGAAAGCCAGGGCCCAAGCCTTCTCTCTGAGTAGATGCAGCCCTTCCGTGTGTGCCCGGCCACCTTGTGAAGAAAAGCTGACATCTTAGCTCTGGGATCTGTGTTTAGTTAATGACCTGGGAACAGACTGCGTTCATGGAGCCTCATCACGTGGTTGAAGACAACCAAGGTTTGTTTGACTGTTCATTTTGTAAACTTGGCATACATGCTGCCTGGGCCAGACCGTGTCTTTAAAGATGGGGAGAGTTCAGAGGTGTTTCCGTTGGCCCAAATAGTTTTATGCTTATTTACAATATATTAACACTCTATGTGCATAACCTTTTTTGTTGTTAAATATGTATCATCTTTAGCAACATATTTAAAGATATTATTAATATAATGAGGTTTTAAGATTGACCTAACTATTTTGTAGTAGGAATCCAGCTAAATTAAATTAAATTAGGGATGCCTGGGTGGCTCAGTCCGGTAAGGTTCTGCCTTTGGCTCAGGTCATGATCCCAGGGTCCTGGGATGGAGGCCCATGTAGGGCTCCCTGCTCAGCAGGGGTCTGCTTCTCTCTCTGCCCCTTCCCCCGTGCTCTTTCTCTCCCTTCCCCCCTTTCTCTCTCAAATAAACAAAATCTTTAAAAGAAATAAATTAGATTGGTCTGTTGGAGCACTTTAAAAAGAGTCTTCAGTGACTGTGAGCAAAGCCTGTGATTCCATTTTTGCTCCGGTCGCCCCACCCTTTTTTAGGCCCCATTTACATGACAATACTTCCATGTTAACATAGCTCTGAGATGAGTTCTTTCCTCCCGAGGATGTAGTTTTTGTGTCCCGACATGGGGGCACGCAGGTGCTTTGAGTTTGGATCCCATCTCTAGAATGCTTCCCCCATAGTTGTGCTTTGTGGGAGTTTGTCCCCTGGAGAGACTGGCTTCTGGAGGGACCCAGCTTATCCTGCTCAGCATCCCCAGGGACTGGCAGACACCACCCCAACTTCAGAGGCCTCCCAGCACCGTCTGGCAGGCTGTTTCCTTGAAGTCAGCAGACTGTCAATTCATGTGGCCTCTTTTGATACTGGGCCCTTTACGACAAGAGATTGTAACTTATTTTGGTTTCAGAATAGGCTACCATGTAAGGCAGATACACTCTGTACCCTCCCACCTTCACTTCCCAGCCCTCTGCCCTTCTCTGCTTACCAGGACATCCAGTGAGCTGGCGTTTGCCTTCCTACCCAGGACAGGTAGGACCGGGGGACCTGGCTCTTCTGCACCTCACATGTCCACACTTGTTGAGAGGTACAGGGGACATGCAGGTTGGCACCCTCCATGACTGATGAATAATTCATGGTGACTTCTTGTGCCGTGAAACTTTCTCCTGCAAATGAATGTTATTTTGAAAGACAACGCTGTTTTAAAACTCCGCCAATGTTCCATATTCTTTATTGATCTCCCTTAGACATCCACTGGGAAGACAAAAGTTGACAAACATCAGAAAAATAAAATGTAAAGCTGATAGGGGCCCCATGTGGGCAGTCAGCCAACTCTGTCAAAACTTGTTCCCCCTTATTCTTTTTGAAGTGTAACATCACCTGATGTTATAAAAGGCCTCTAGATACTCAAATAATGTCTGGGCTCTCCTCGAAGATAGAATCTGAATTTTAATTATAATGTGCACCTTAATTAGTATTAATGTATTACTAGTATTTGAAGTTGGAAACTCTGCTTCGATGGCTTTTCCTAAGTGAAAGGGATAAAATTAGAATATCTCAAGATGTCTGCATGTCTCTATTTGAATAAACTTGGAGCCCTCTCTTTCCCTGCACTGTAAAAAGAGTGGATTTTGGTTTTGATTTCCAGGAAAGGTAGGGCAGGTTTTAGAAAATCTTCCATGACAGAGAGATTATAAGTAAACCGAGTAAGCCATATATCTGATTTTATTTTTTTGAGGTCAAACTGGAAAAAAAGAAATAATCTTTCAAAAGAATTTCATTTCTTTTCTCCATTTTTTGACTACTCTTTCTTTCTACTCCATGGCATATTTTTAAGGGATTTGGAGTCTTTCCACTCGCTGCCAGCTGGAATTTACAGAACGTGTATCTCTAGAACACTCAACAGTTGACTTGAATCTCGGTCATAATTAAATGGGAAGGCTGACAGAGTATTCTGAGACTCAAAAACAGGCACACCTTATGTTTGGAACATAAGGACTTTCACTACCCTGCATTGTTTTAAAAGTATCCTCCATTGGGAAAATTGACAATACATTTCACTTACCTACTTTTTAAATGGAATTGAATGGATCTATAACAAACAAGTTTGACCACTCTTAAATTTTGTCTCTTCTTCCTGCAGCTGGGTTCCCGATACTTTAAAGCTTTAACAAAACTATCCTTGCTCACCCATTGCTCTTAAATGAGTACATCATTCTGTCCTTTCTCTCCTGGCACACCTTGAAAGCATTGGCTACTTAGATGACTGTTGATTTACTACCTTCTGCTCTAAATGATACGCTTAGAGCTGGTGTTTGCATACAATTAATAGTAGTTTAGGCATACAAGGCACCCAACCTTCTCCTTTATATGAAAATCTAACTGTTGGGGCGCCTGGCTGGCTCAGCGGGCGGAGCGTGAGATTCTCAGGTTGTGGGTTCCAGCCCCACGTTGGGTGTGGAGACCACTTAGAAATAAAATCTTTAAAGGTTGGGGTGACCGTCAGGATATCAATTCAGAATATCGGGACTGGGATTTTGCAAAACTTATCTCTAAACCCCATTCCCTTCCAAAAAGGGGGTGGTGGTGGTGGTGCAACATGCTGGCGAGCACTCCTTTTAGATTTCATCTGAGAGAGTGGAATGCTGGACAGGTTTTTCTGCTTTAAGAGGCAGTCACAGCTGCCACTGCAAATGAGCTCTGCCAAGGTCAGTGACCAGTGGGTCAATTAGAGCATGACATTGCCGGGGACATGCCCAAGCAGTGGGAGCCGGCCGCAGGAGCACCAGCTATCGGCTATCGGGTTGTCATAGAACAGTCAACAATAGAATGAGCTTTGAGAGGGCTTGTCCCCATCTCCCCTCCTTGTCCCTGTCTCTGCCCCTCCCCCTGCTGTTGACGCTTACAGGCTCCCTTGCCTGACTGCACCGCGGTACCTTGACCATCCCCCGAAGACCACATATCTTGAAGATCTTCCTGAGCTGGTATTACTCTTCTTTACAATACTTTTCCTGGGACTCATACCTCACGCTGACAGGTGACTTGAAGGGACAGAGAGCTAGAAGGTGAACTGGAATGCAGAGTGCCCTTAGAAAAAAGGCACCACATTGGGGGAGTGGTATGATTTGGTGGAAAGCACATCTCTTGACTCTTTTTAAATGACTTAAGTGGTCTGTTTTCCCGATTTTTCCTATACAAGATGTCGTTGCCTACATGAACCCTCAAATGCAGGTACAGATGCGTGAATTTAATTAGCCATTTTTCTTCTGAGGCTCGTGACCTCACCCACGTCTTTATTGTTGTTATTTTTTTAACTTTAAAAGAACTCTCACTCTAATAGTCTGTCTCTCTAATTGGTAGCTTCCTCAGGGAGGGTCTGCTGATGTGTCATAGAGCCCGTGCTGGACTTGGCATTAAAGCAGCTCATTAACGTTCTGTTTGTTACCATTAATTTACTGAGCATCTTTCAGCAAGTGGCAGGCACCGTGCTAGGTGCTGTGCAGAATAAATCTTTGTCATTTAGCATCCATAATCTTGGAAGGATCACTGGCATTATATGCCAAAGATGAGCTGAGCAAGTCACCTACGTGACAAACGAATAACCTTCTGAGCAGGGTGAAGCATGCAAGTATAGGAATATAAGATGTTAGGGGAGATAGTCACCTTGGGAGATTACGACGCTGGCTAGGGAAGGTCCGGGGCTCCTAGGGATAGAGATGAGCCCGGTGGTTTCAAGGGGCACAACCTGACCACAGATCATGTCTCACCGTGGTTCCAGCGTGGAGGAAGTTTGTCTCTTGTTCTCCAGAACCATCTCTGCCCCTTCTCACTGCCAAAGCCACAAGGGATGGGGGATTTATATTCCCCTTGCTAAAATGGTATTCTCTGGTGAATTTTAAAGGTAGTTTTTCTAATGTAAACCAATAATTTCAGACTTGCAGGAGGAAAGCAGGTTCTGTCTGGACATGGTGTCAAGCTCTTGAGCTCTAGAGGCAGAGGGATTTGATTCCCAGACTGGCTTTGGTATCTTCTAGCTGTGAAGTTCTCAAAGCCTGTTTCCACATCTATAAAATGGAGTTCATAGGTACTACCTTCTTTATAAGATCATGAGTATTAAATGAATATGTTTATGTTTATAAAACCCATGACACAATACCTTACTTATAATAATGACTTACATAATTACTGGTTATGGTTCTACCTGAGAAATGTAGATGCTTTCAAATTATTTATTTTGTTGAATAGTGTCTTGATTTTGTTGAATAGTGTCTTGATTCAGTTTTTTTTTCCATTTTCTGTGTGTATTTTATTTTAAATTGTATAAATCATATAAGAATAAGCTTTTGCTGTAAAAATTTCAAATAATATATGAAAGGCAAGAGTTTCCTTGACCACCATTCAAACCTAGGGGGTAACTACTATTATCAGTTTTATTTTTTCATTTTATTTTCAACAAAATAATTCACGTTTCTAGTCTTCCAAATGAAATAGTGTCTTCTCTCATGAATGGGAGACAAAGGAGTGAAAGCCAGGGATTCTAGAGTTTTTCTGGCCTGACTCCCTAAGATGACCCATCCCTCCCTGTTGCTCAGTGCAGCTCTTTATCCATTTCATAGTTTCTTTGGACACATGACCCAGCATGGTTTTTGAAAGTTTGGGGAGCCACTTCTAACCTTTATGTTTTAGATATTATCTATTGTCAAGAGTATAGAAGAGTTAATTAAATCCTAAACTTCCTGTGTAGTAAATCAATAGATAATGTCTACCATGAAAAAAAAAATACCAAGACATGACCATTGAAGCATCTTATTTAGGGAGATGGAATTAAGTACCAGAATAAATAGCTTAAAAAAAAAGTTGAAAGAGATTGCCTCCTCTCTCTTATCCCATTTCCACCTACGCTGAAAGGGACCTTGCAGCTTGGCACAGAACCTCATGTCATTTTCAGCAGGCATCCGTGAGGATTAGTCTCTGGGC